TTTTTTTTTTCCCCCCTGAAAAGAAAAAACATGTCTAATTAATTGAAATTAAGTAACTTGTAGTATTTAACAATTTATTAACTAAAAAAAAATCTTTTTGCAAAATCAGGTAAGGTTTTTTTCTTTTCTTTCATAAATTGAGTTTTATTTTCCAATTTTATGTTTTTCGTTTTCATTTATTACACTTTGATGGTTTAAATTAACCATCAAAAAGCATGTCTAATCAATCGAATTATTAAAACTAACAATTTAATCATTTTAAGTTAAACCAAACTTCAGATGGTTTCACATGAAGAGCTTTGAGTTCGTGTGCGTTTGATGATGGTTATTTAAAATGAAATGGTGAAAAGCTGGTAAAACTGCACCAATCAATCACAGATGTAAAGATTTCATATTTCAATAGCAGTCTTTTCCATATTAATATTCATAGAGAATATCCTTGATTTTACTGCTTGCGCTTTATTTGTCTAAAATGTCAAATTCCATTTTTATAAGAATTCTGTGATTGCGATCTGCTCTTCCTCATTGCACAAACCATAGAGCCGTACTCCTCTAACTGAGCTTCTCTTCATTTATCCGCTGTGACTCCAGGCTGAACCATCTCGCCGCGGGGCTGAGTCTGACCCCTGGACTGAAGGCAGACGGCTCGAATAAAGAGATCGAAGAAGCCATGAAGAGAGTGAGAGAGGCCCAGTCTCTGATCTCCGCAGCCATCGAGCCCGGAAGTGAGTGACTGGCGTGCTACATCAAAGATATCTGCTTGTGTGCGTGAAAGGACGGTGTGCTAAAGAGTTTGCTTCTTCAGGTAAGAAGGATGATAAACGCAAGCGCTCCAGATCCAGGTCCAGATCCAGACGCAGGAGATCCGGGTCCCGCTCCAGACACAGGTTTGTGGAGACGTCTCAATCATCCAGCTGAAGTCCATGTACAGTCATGCTCTCATGCAGTGTTCATTTTGTCAGCTATTTTCAGTTTTAGCCTTAAGCTCCGTTCACACCAAGAACGGTAACTATAAAGATATCAGCGTCCACACCAGCGCTCTATATCATCTGGTTATTCAAAGCGCACGCTCGTCTGCCGCTTTAAATTCTCGGATGGATTCTGATTGGGTTTCAATGTTTGTATCGTGTTTTAGTCAAAGAACACATGATATTTTAGCAATAAGATTATTATTAACCAGATAGCAGTATTCATTTTGGCAGTTATTTTTAATTTAGTTTTACTCGAATGTTATCATATTTAGGCAGCCTTGTCCTGTTTTTGTTCAGTCAAGTTTAACTCAACGAAATGTCTGAGCGTTTTAGTCGATGAAATCTTAGTCACATTTTCGTCGTGCTGTATTATGGTTAAACTGATAAAAATTAATTTGGCTCAAAATTATAATCGTAATGATTGTTGTCATTTGAGAAATGTACTTTTGCGTTTCAGGTATTCTCCAGTAAACACAAATCAATGGAACTCATGCTGTATTTTCCCTCATCTAGTGTACTGATTTATTATAGGCTGTTTATTATATAAATGAATACCAAAGACTTATGCACTCTCTGTCTACATTATAAAAAAAAAAGAATATTATAACGGTGTAATTCCAAACTGCAATAGCCTGTTTCTCTATTAAAACAACAGCGGTTGAGTAAGTGCATTTATTCAGAAACCAGTCACTGTTTTCAATGAAGCACTGAAGAGCGAGCGCATGGTCGCCAGATTGCTTAAAATAAGCAAAACACCAGGAAGAAAATGTATCAATGTAACCGCGAAGCTCGGGATTAGAACTCTGGATATCTGGCAACCGCACTCATGAAAGCTGGTGTAGTAGAGGAGTGTAGAGCAGTCTGCAATAACACCGTCGTCTTTTATGACGAAAATACAAAGAGGTTTTTGGTAAAGTTTTTATTTTTTGCATACATTTTAGCCTCGTCTTTTATCGTCAAGGAAATTGCATGTAGTCGCAGTTATCGTTTATTGACCATATTGTCGTCTCGTTTTAGTCATCAACAAACCTTTTTCGTCACACTTTTCGTTAACGAGATTAGCACTAGTCTGATGTGAGTTTGATGTGAGCGCAGGCGTTCCAAGAGTCATTCCAGACGGAGATCTCGCTCCAGGAGCAGGAGGAGGTCCAAGAGCCCCAGGAGGAGGAGGTCTCATTCCAGGGACCGCAGCAGACGCTCCAGATCCAGGTGAGAGCTCAAAGAGTCTCAAGCGTCTCAAATATGCTCCGGGTTTCTCAGGCTTAGTTGTGGAGCGGCGGTGGTTCATTGCATCTTTGCATTTGTTTCCGATGTAGAGACCGGAGGAAGGAAGACAAGATCAGAAAACGTTCAAAAACTCCTCCCAAGAGCTACAGCAGCGCCAGACGCTCCCGCAGTACCAGCCGGTGAGTGTCGAGCCCCATCAAATCAGCTTGTTTTTCCCTCCCAAATCTTGTATTTTTTTTTTTATTCCGTTTTAATGGTTACATTAAGTTTTAGTCATCAGAACACACTTCTAAGTAATTGAAATCAACGTACAAAATGTAATCATTTATTGACAAGACTCTAGATGTGGTCACTTATGTTTAAAACATTTTATCAGGGTCCTGTTTTAAATGATGCTAGGAAACGTTTTTACACAGAAACATTAATGGACTCCTGGGAAAATATTGACGTTTTTAATCAAACACCAAAGCTTGTCTGTAATTTTTGTTAATTACACTACATTGTTAATTCTTTGAATTATTGCCAATACCATTTTAAAATTTTACTTTTGAGTTTGCCATAAATATAGCACTGATATGGTGTGAAATAATAAATAAATATACAATTTATTAGAAGGGTAATTTTTTTTAGTGCCCTATGAAATGCGTTTTATGTTCCCGAAGTCTATGATTTCAGTTAAAAACAATTTTGATTGCATTTTAATGGAAATTAAAAATTGTAATTAAATTTAAAGTTTTTTTTACCCTATGATATATTTAGTTTTTCTGAAATTCTGTTGTCTTTTTAATTTTTGGATTTGATTTATTTTTTTGTCCAATTTTTTAATTAAAACATGGAAGAAAATTTGTGATATTCCTTAAAATAATGTTTTCGTTTTATTATTACTTTGAGAACTATACGCTATTGTACAAGAGTAATATATTTGTCCGTTTCAAGGTTTTTGACCTTTTTCATTTTCAGGCTCCATTTCATTAGCAGACCTTTAGTGGTTTAATATTCAGATACTAGCACATATTGCAAACTAGTTATTTTTAATGCCCTACTTTTGATTTATTCACCTGAAAATGCCAAACGGTTGTCTATAATTCCATTTTTATGACTGGTTTTTGCCTTAAAAGTTTGTCATTCTAACCGTGGTTTTTTCACACATGCACTTTTAAAGTAAAATGGAGTTATACACCATGGTTTAGATCAGAGCTCATGTTGACAGTGAATGTGTCTTCTTCCAGCAAACGACACAGGAGAAGCCGCAGCGCGTCTCGATCACCGAAGAAGTCTCGATCTCCCAAGAGGAAACTGTCCCGCTCGCCGTCTCCTCGCAGGTAACACACTCACTCACACTCGCACACACTC